GGTTCTTCAACCCGGTCCCAACGCCTAAGACCATAACCAGGAGCATCCGAGCTTGCAGGCGCCTGTGCTCAGGCAGACAGCCCTCCGGGGCAAAGGCAACAAAGGAGCGGAGGCGACCCCTTGGCAGCAAGTAAAGTAGTAGATCGAGAGCGGGCAGCTCACTAAGGCAGAGATACCGGGACACACCAGAAGAGAAAAGGGGGCCTACCCGGAGGCCGAAAGAAGAGAGCTTCGCAGACAAAGCTCCGGGGCCGCCTACCTCGACGAAGTCAAAATCCATGCCGAGGGGGCGAGCGAAAGAGGGGCTGGCTCCAAAACCAGAGCCAGCTGAAAGGTCAGAAAAGCCTGGCCAACGCGATGGCCGTCAAGCGAAGTATAGAAGCCTTTCTTTCCAGAGTTTGCCCAAAGGGCGGCAGAGACAGATTCACCGACATAAGTCACACAAGCAGCACCCTTTGCCAAGGAGGCGTCGGAGCAGTAGGCAAAGGGGGAGAAAGGGACCGCGACGTTGGAGGCGATGACGGGCGCCAGCGCACTCAGCAGAGCGACCTCCTGAGCAGCACCTCTGGGCAAAGCAACCAGGCCAGAATCGGCAGTGGAGGGGGAGCCGCCAAGCGCAACAGTGAAGAAGGAGCTCAGACATGAGCTGAGGCACCTCCGGTAAAGGAGCACAGAAGTCCAACACCCGGCTAAGGCAGAGGCCAGCTCCTGTGAGAGGTGGGGGAGTGCTGCACACTTAAGGCTAAGGTAGCTCAGCGCGATCCGCTTCTCGGGGGGGCCCCAACAAGAACCTGGCCTTCGGCAACAGTGGCAAGCTCTGAGTCGATGTGGGCTCCACCGGCACGGGTGGTGAGGCTACCAAGGACATCTTTGTGATCCGACCCTTTTACACCCTCGGCATTGTAAGCAGCCTTGGCTCGCTCAACCGCCTGGCCCGCGCGGGACCTCTGAAGCGAGGCAGCGAGAGATAAGGGGCCCAGACCATCAACAGAAGACACCGGCTCACAAGAGAGGGCGAAGAAATCATCTATTATGAGGCCGTCCCAAAAATCTCCAAGAGGTACCGGGGAGCGGCCCTTCAAGCGGGTCCCCTCCTTCAAGAGCCCAGCAGCAACTAACAGGCTCTCATGTCCTGCCGTCGCGTACTCGACTCCTCCATGATCGCCCTGAAACAGGGCCTGGAATGCACCATGGTAGTGGTGCCCGGTCGGGTCGGCGAGCAAGGCCCTTGGAACATGCGGCAAGTGAGCCTGGAGGCCAGCAGCGATGAGGTCGGTTGCACACAAAGCTGGCCCTACCCGGTTCGTCAGCGACCTTGGAGTCGACACTCCTATCTGATGATAGAAATCGGATCTATCTGTCGACGCGCCTACCAGCATATGCGAAAATCGTGGCACACTTATGTTGGTAAGCAGCTGGCCAGGAGGCAAAAACCGGGAGGGGCCGAGCACTCGACCCTCAAGTGAATTGGGTCCGCGGCGATCCCCGATCATTCTATCAGCATCCTCGTTTTTGTAGCTGCCAAAAGTTCGAACTAGCTCGCGGTCAGAGGCAGGGCCGTAAAACACGCGAAGTAAACCCTTGGTGCTCCAAAGCTTCATCAACTGAAGGGTGGTGCTCTTCTTCTCAAGGCTTGCTGCAGGGAAGGGGAGGTCATTGGCAGGAATACCTCTGAGGATGGCCGGTTCGCGGAAGGGGAGGTGAAGCTCGGGCTCCCACTCAAGGTGTTTGTCAAGGTCCCAGGCCGAGCGGCCAGTGATGAGGATGCGGCTGGGGTCTGTGTCTCGGTAGGGCCTGAGGGCCTCGGGCCCCCCGGTGTAGTGGTGAACCTGTCCTGGGGGGAGCTCGCCTAGGTAGACAGAGTGGCCCAAACCTAAGTTGGCGAGGTGGTCAGTAAGCTCAGCCAGGCGAGCAACCAGGTGCACGCCACGTCGGCCAAAGCACAAAGGAGCACAGTCGGCAGGGCCGGTGCACCTTGAACACGCCCTAAGCATATCCCTAAGCCTGTCAAAAACTTGCAGTTGACTTGCGGAGGGCAGCCTCTGGAGCACATGAGAGGGCACATGTCGAAAGTTGGCATGGAGATAATTGAGCCCCATAACAACAATGTGCAAAACGCGATCAAGCAAAAGCTCTCGGTAGTGGCCGGAACGCCGGCCCCTTGCTCCAGGATCCTTGCCAGCATCAAAGCAACCGGGCCTCGGGATAGGCAAAGGATATAGGGTGGTAGGTTGGCATGTCACTGTGCCAGGACGGAGGGCAAAAGTACCCGCGAGGAAGCGGGAGAACGATGTTCGACCGGCCAAAAGCAACCGCGGCAGGGCTGCGGCCCAGGCCCAAAAGTCAGTCTTCTTATCAAAGGTCCCTGCAGGGAAGCACGGCGGCTCCTCCCGGTGACAGCCAGGTTCCGAGAAGGGAGGGCCCGAAAGGGATTGCAGCCCCGGCGGCGGTTCACAAGGAGTGCTGGGGGCTGAGAGGCGAGGGTGCCTGCTTGTCAAAGGAGCAGCTTCCCTCGGCTCTGGTTGAAGCTCAACGGCGTGGCCTTGCCGTTGGACTGGGGCTTGCACAAATTCGCTGCACTGCGGTGGTGCACTTGAGGTGGCCGCTTCGGGCACATCGGCGCCAGACCTGCAAACAGCTCCGGGAATGCAAGGCTGGCGGTGTAGAGGTACAGGCGGCTGCTCGGCGCAGCGCGGGGCCTTATAGTCCGTAGGGCTCCTCAGCTTCCCTCGGAAGCCCGCCGTGTTGCCCAAGCCTTTGCTCGCAACTGCTTCTTCGTCAGGGCGGGCTCTACGCTTGGGTCGGCACCGCCGGGCGGGGTCGTAGGCAGCTTCGGGGGAGAAGGCGGGCCCCCGCGTTTCTTTGGTGGGCCCCCGTACTCGAGGCGTCGGCTCGACAGAGTCTCGATCTCCTTGACGTACGCAAGGGTAGAGGCGACTAGTCGGGCATCGGCTAGAGGAGAGAAGGGCCGCAGGGCAGCCGTCGGCAGCGACGGGTGATTCACGAACACCGCTGCTGGTGGATCCGGCTGCAGGCTGAAGAGAAATGCCAGGTCGTGCTTGCCACCATCGGCGTTTACTTGGTCGACCATAATGATGAGCTGGGCCACAAGGTCGGAGGCTCCCGCAGTGGAGCCCTGGGCCAAAAGGTCGCTCACCTGGGCCAGCTGGTACTGGATCAAACCGAGAAGCTTTTGGCTTCCATATCCTCCGAACCTCTCGAAGTAACGAGTCATAAGGTCCGGCTCGGTCCCCTCTGCCATGGTGGGGGAGATCCGTCGGAGAGCCGACTGTCTGAGGCGCTTTGCGAACGAGCCGTCTCGAAGGAAGAGCTCTGCTTGCAACTTTTGCCTGGCTGAGGTGCCCTTTGTCGAGAGGCCGGCCGTGGTGGAAGTGAGGTCGACGGCAAGCGGGTCCTGGGCCTGCGCCAGTTGGGAGACCAAAGCACTCAGGGCCTTGGACTGCAAAAGCATGGCTTCGGCAAGGGAGGAGCTGGAGGCCGCTGCCGGGACAGGGAAGTCGCCTAGACCTTCGGCTATACCAGTAGGCTCCTCCTCGGCTGGATGCAGACGATGGGCCCGAAGCCTTGGCGGGGGTCCCAGCAACTCTGGTAGGGTCGCTCTCGGGTCGACCGGTGGCTGCACAAGGTGGCTCGAGACAGGAGCCGCAAGTAGGCTGCGGGAGCCAGCTGCGGGGGCCGGCACCTCCTGGGCCTGAGTGGGGGCAGGCCCCCCCAACACCTGAAGAGAAGACAGCTGCTCGGCGATTCCGGCCACGGCCTTGGAGAGGGCCTCTTGTTGGGAGGCGAGCTGTGCAACTGTAGGTCGCTTCGGCTTCGGGTTTGCCTTTGCCTGCCTGGTGCCTGCAAGTTCTGACGCCGCGGTTTGATAGCCAGAACGATCTGTGTGAGCACCTGTGGCGGCCCAGAGCCGAGCCTGCCTCAAGACATCGGATGCCAAAGGGAAAATCCCGGGGCGGTCCAAGGAGAAAGGGGCAGCATCGGTAAGGAGCGTGTCCGCCTGAGAAAGGCACTCGGCGCCTGCATCTGCGAAGTCCACAATCAAAGCCGGGACCGGGGTAGTGTCGGTAGGCCTCACCCACTCGCCATCCTCGGTGAGGCTGATAGGGGGCACAGACAGCCCCGATGACAGGCCCACCAGATCGCTTGCATTGGCATCTTCCCCTGCCCGCAAGGTGTCGGCAGGGATGAAGCCGGTGGGGAGGCAAAGCAAGAAGCCTCCTGGTCGCCGCATGACTGCATAACATAGGCACGAGGCCCTCAAAGTTTCTTCGTCGTCGGTTGGGGCCACCGGCGGCCAAGTGAGCTCGAGAAGCTCCACCGACCCATCCTCCACACAGACTATGTTGCTGGGCTCCATCGTTCAGGGAGCTAGGGCTCAGCCGGGCAAGCGACCCCAGCACCGGCACAGTAGATCCGGACCTCAGCAAGAGAAGCAAAGCCGTGAGAGACAGAGTCCGTAGTATGGTTCTGGACCGCACGCCTGTAAGCCGCGAAATTGTTGTAGAGGTGGGGGCCGTCAAGGCCCGGAGCACGCAGAATGATGTAGAGGCGATTCCGCAAGTCAAGGGGCGGAGTGCGGGCAACAGTGCGGGCACGGCCTTGCAGAACCGCGCCGGCCCAAAGTCCGGCAGTCCACGCTCGTTGCACACGAAAACCCGTAGGGTCAGCGATGCCACGGCCTAGGCTGATAGCAGCGAGGGACACAGGAGGGAAGCTCGCACTGAGATCAGCCGAAGAGGGGGAGCTGCTAGAGGCAGACAACCCGGGCCCGAAGCCCTGCAAGGGGTAGAGCACGAGGAAGACAAAGGCTGCGGCGAGGGAGCGGGTTCGCTCTCCTGGGTGCACACGGGTAACCCGGGACTACCTAAGGAAACCTTAGGGGTCCTAGGGTTCGGGGCTTGGCTGGCAGAAGGAGGCCCGGCAGGCGGGGATCGAGGAGCACTCCGCCGAAGCAGAGGAGGGCAGTCGACCGTCTCTGTGGCAGGTACCTCAGAGTTGACCAAGACAAAGGAGCTTCGAGAAGAGGCAGGGGAGGAAGGCTCGGGCTCGGAGGCAGCAGGGCCGGGAACCGGAGCAGTAACCCTAAGGCTAAGACTACCCAACCGAACCGTAAAGTCCACAACCTCGCGCTCACTCATGCACGTAGCCCCTCAGACGGAGCCGGGCTGACGAAAGGCGTGAAGGAGCTGGCTCAGGCTGGCCGTGAGATGAAGGGACAGCAGAAGTCCAAAAGAAGAGGAAATAGCCCCAAAGTCCAGAGGCGAAACAGACACCGAGCAGGAATGAAGCCAGGAGGCTCCCAAGGTCTGTGCCTCTGCAGTGGCCCGGACACCCTAACCCCCACCAGTTACTAGTAACACCAGAGTGGAGAAAACGGAGAGTGTCAAGGGCCACCTCAAACATGCTTTGAGCCCCGTGCCAAACGTTAAATCGCTCTTACGTCTCACCATGACTGCGCTGCGATCGCTCATCGAGATGATGTCCGCGGGAAACCCCCCGGCGAATGGTTGGGTAACTCTAGCCCATGCAACTGCTGTCGGCGAATGGGGACACATCTGTGCTCTAACTGCCCCTACGTTGCAAGCAACACTGGCTCCTCGGACTCCAGATGGAATCGAAGATGTCGCCTGCCAAGGCGCGCCCGCGCGCCTGCCAGGTTGCCAGACCCAAATCTTCTCATGTCAGACGCAGAGACGTGTGCTTTGCAAGCTACTGGTTCCACAGGCTAGTTTTTTCAGCGGACTACTCACGCTTTCGACGGTGCTGTCGTGTTGACGCCTGTCTCACCACGCCGACACGCAAAAGTGTATGTACACACTCGGCTAGACCCTGCACGTCGATGCGCGAATGTATGTACACACAAGCGGCTAAACCCTGCACGTGGTCTCGTCACCGACGATGCGCAAAGCGAGATTGGAAATCTAAAAGGCTCTTCGAACACCTGTGCAGGTTGATTCTCTACCGATACAAATGTAACAAATGAGGTAGCAAGGTGTCGCGGCCGCTACAGCCTGGGCCAGATGTGAAGGCAAACTCCGTGATTGGCTCAGTGTCTGGCTCCGTGTCTGACTCCGTGTTTGGCTCAGTATCTGACTCGTCTCTGTAGTAGGTTTCTGCAATCACAGTTGCATGTCCACGAAGATCGCGAAACTGAATGAAACCTTCAAGGCCGACAGGCACTTTCATTTTTGAGTTCCGGGACATGCACCCAAAATCATCTTCGGGATCTTTAAGAACCGTTTCCAAGACCTCCTCAAAGATGCCATCAATGCTCTCCTCGCCATATCCCCTCGGCATCGCGGTTGCCACGGCGTTTTCCAGAAGCTGCATGGGGGCGTGCGCGACCTCTCCTGTGACCAACCACATCCGGTTCAGGAAGACACGAGCGCATTTCAGCGCATTGTACACCGAGACATCTCGGCTGATGCACAACGTGGTCAGACGGAAGACCCGGAGAATCCATTTAACCTCCCAGGTAACCAACTCGCGAGCCTGCTCGTCTGACATGTCAAGCTGGTTGAGAGAGTCCAGCTGATCCACGTCATACTCAATGTAGCGCCACAGATTCAGCGAGGAGGGTTCACTCAAGATTATCTTGCTGAATTGATCCACTTCTTGTTGGAGAAGCTTCTTGGCACTGTCGTCTCGAACACCTGCGAATTCGCGGCGAGTCACAGACAATTGCTTTCAGCAGCAGGCCAGCTTATTCAGGGCGCGGTCGATGTGGAGGAACGCGGCAATCTTGTCAGGGCTGCCGGTAGGCGCATGCCGAAGGCATATATTCAAAGCCTCGTGTGCCATCGGTTCGACGGCTGGCGCAGCTCTCCAACTACCCCTGCGTTGCAAGCAAAAAGGGCTTTGCAGGAAAAATCACCAGAAGCAACCCCATGTAAAACTGTCTACGACGGACCAAAACTGACGAGCCCGGCCTTCACCGTGGAATCCAGGATGCAGAGTTGGTTTCGTCCACGATGTCGCTTAGCCTGCCAAATTGCACGAGGTAGGGTGTTTAGAGGCGACATCACGCAAGACCGCAGCAGTTACACAGAGAGTTGCAGGGCCAGGGGCGAGCCTTGCCCGGGAACTCGATCAATGCGGCCACGGATCGAGGATGCCGGATGTACCTGCCAGGTTGCAAGATGGGGTTTTGGGCACGAGAGGGTCTGGGCTCAGAACGGTCTGCACAACTACCGAGTTCCTACAAGCATGGCCCCCAGACACTCAACAAAGCCTCTCAACGACGCTCATTTTGGCGGATGTTCTCACGCTCAGTCTGTGCCCGGATTGTGAACCCGGGAAGCGGTCAAAGGTGCCAAGCACACCTAGCCGCTGGCTGTAAGGCCCGCCCTGTCGCGACGCGGGCTCTATGACGCATGTCACCCCTTGCATGCGACTCCCAGGGGCTTTGCTCCTGTACAACCTTCACGGAAAGCAAGCAAAGGCCCTGAACCGAAAGTATGCACACGGACTGCTTGGTGACTTTGAGCTTCGCAGTCTGACTTAAGCCGCCCCCGCGCGCAAAAAGCGTCTGCGGGCTGTACCTGGCGGCGGTTTCGGAGCGGCGTGCTCCCGGATCTAGGCAATTGGATCGAAACGGCTTTCCACGGTTTAGGGATTAGGGTTTAGGATTTAGGATTTAGGGTTTAGGGTTTAGGGTTTAGCCACTTCGCCTTCCAACACACGAGAATGCCCGGCAAAAGTGTGAAGGTGTTACGACGTTATGGCAAAAGTCGGTCTGCGTGTCCGAGTCTTGTCTGCAACGGGTTTCTGGAGCCTCTGTACGGTTTAAGGGGTTTCGGCTTAGGTCTCAGGCGCAAACGAACTTGTTGGGGTCCACCACATCACCCGAAGATGGGCAATGGCAGACGAAAATTCATGCCCTTTGTTTGCCGTCCAGGCACCGTATGTACATGGGTCTGGCGACAGCAAAGGCCGCTTCAGCGCGAATTTGTAAACAATCTGCACTTTGAACGCAGATCCTCGCCTGATTCGTCTGAGGACTCTGGCTCCGGTGACTCATCTGATGCGGGAGGGCAGGCCTTCAACTTAGCAGCCAGCGTCAAGGCCAACTCAGGGCGAACTTGGAGGGCCATCCCGATACCGTCCTCGTCAGTCTTCATCATCACGACCTTGCCCCTGGCATCGTTCGTTGCACAGCCTCCGCGACTTTCGCCCTTGAGCCCGAGACGCGCCATCAGCGCCACGACCTCCTCAGTCAGGCAAAACAAGAAGGCCGCGGCCAGCTTCTTGAACACGACGATGTTGGTTCCGAGACCGCGTGCACCCCGCAAACAATGCTCACGGAGAAAGAGCTTGAAGCGGGCTACTCTCTGGTTGAGCTCCTGCTGCATGTTGTCCATCACTTCCTTCATTTGCGGAGGGCGGTTCAGGAGCAGGCCGCCGGGGTTGACGGCTGCATTGAGGGTGCGCGCCAGTCCAAAGATCCACCACTGCATCTGCCCGTTGAATTTGCCTTCCTTCACCTGCTGCTTCAGATCGTCGCTGGCTGCTTGGTAGCCGATCGGCTCTGACGCGAAGACGGCGTCGAAAACCCAGACGTTCATTTTAGAGGCCAAGGCGTCGTCTTCCTTGGCAAGAAATTGGAAGTTAGCCAAACAGAAGCCTGGCTGCTCCAATTTGCCATGGCCTGGTGGGCACGCCTGGACGCGTTCGGCAGGCCCTGGTGTTCGCACAGCCCCTTCAAGAGGCTGCCGCGAAGGCGCTTGTGCTCGGGGACCTCAGAAAACACCACCATGCGTTTCTGGCAGCAGGCGTGCTCGGCCTCTCCGATGCCAGCGGCAGCGCCAACGACGTGATGGCCCTGGATTGTCCAGGCGTACCCATTATCCTCACCCCCCAGCAGGATGTACGGCAACATTGCGATCACGTCCTTGCCGGAGCCACTCGCGCCGAACAGGTAGTTGACGGCTTGGATTGGAATCCAGGGGCAAGCTGTCAATGTCCAGTTGCGCCCCATAAAAACCACTTTGCTCCTTATTATTTGCATCACCAACAGAAAACCTTTACTCCTAGCTGGCCTTAATTCAAGTCCATGGGTGCAGAAGAGGCTCCACTCACGCAAAATGTCTTTCACGCGCTTCAATAGGTCGCAGTCATGCCGACAAAGGTCCTCCAGCGCTTTCACGATCTGGCGACCCAGCTCGCTGCCCTCTAGCCCCAGCTTGGCGTTGTCTCGGTCCAGCATCCACCTGCAAATCATGTCGAAAACATCAGGCAGGTGTGCCGGCTGCGACCAGGGCGCAAAGTCGCATCCGGCCCTCGCCATCAACCTGTGACTCGGGGTAGCAGGGTAGCTCGACGCAGACGAGAAATCCCAAATGATGCCGTTCCGGAACAGGAGCTTGTCCCTGGAGTGCTCACCATCCAGCTTGTCCAGACGTGGGCCTTGCGATAAAGAGCTGAGAACTCCGTCAACCAAGGCCTTGGCAAACCGTGGCTCTTGAAGCGGGTGTGGTGGGGGCTGATGTGGTGGAGCCAGGGACTTGAGCGACTCCAGGATCTCGTCAGCAACCTTCTTGCGTGGGATCACCTTCCAGGCGCCTACGCCTGCTTCGTAGATCTCGACGGTCTCCTTTGTGCCCTCTGGGTCCACATAGCAGCGACCGGCCAGAGAAGCCGCCACGTACTTGCTGAAGATGGCGGTGTTCTGAAGGGCCTTTCCGGCCACCAAAGCGTCCCTGCACTTTGTCTTCAACTCGACGAGGTCTCTCCACTTCATGGAAGACTCCTGCTGCCAGTCCAAGTGAGGCCAGGTCTTTGCTGCCAAGCTCCAGGGGTCCTGCGCCGGCACCAACTCGAACTTGACATCAAACCG